TATGCATCGGCAGGTCAGCCAGTGGCATGCCTGCACACTATATGTATTCTATTGGGTGGGTGAATGAATGGTGCTCTTCCACCTTGAGCAAGGTGTCTAACCCCCAATTGTTCCCTGGGCACTGGAGCAAAATGGCTGCCCACTGTTCCGGGTGTATGTCCACAGTGTGTGTGTTCACTACTTACTGCTCCTAATGGTTGTGCATTAACTTGGATGGGTTAAATGCAGAGGACAAATTCAGAGTATGGGTTACTTCACTTTATGGTTGAATCCAGGAGAAAGACAAGTCCTTCCTTATGGACACCCTGCTCTCTCCTCTCAGGAGAAAACGGATCTGAGGACCATCATTCTCACTAAAAGGCTTCAGGAAGGAGGTTCTGATGCCAGTGTTCAGGTCTCTGAGGGCAGGTCCCTCCAGGGAAAAGTGGTTGGTCTACACCAGCTCAAAGTGCCCACTCCTTAATGGGTTCAAGATGTTAACTCTGAAACTTATTGTGACCCAAATTCTGATCCGAGGACTAGTTTGTCACAATAGAGCTTAAAGATGCGTAGTTCCACTTATCCATCCTTCCTCAATACAGGAAATTTCTCAGGTTTGCTTTCAGGGGCAAAGCATACCAGTTCTTCCTTTTCAGTCTAGCCTTGTCACCTCGCACCCTCACAAACTGGATGGATGCAGCTCTTGCTCCGCTGTGACTCCAGGGAATATGACTGGCTAATCCTAGCTCAGTCAGAGGAAATGGCAATTTGACAATGAGGTGTCATCCTTGCCCACATAAGGTGCTTAGGTTTAAAGTGGAACTTGGATGGCTGAAGTACACATTGGACTTAAGACTGAGCTCTAAGAAGAGTGTCCTTTCTCCATTACATAGAACCACTTTTCCTAGGGGTGGTATGGGACTCCACTATGGTACAGGCTTGTCTGTCTCCTGCTCATATCCAGTTTATTCTCTCAGCCATAGGCAAGATCAGACTAGGCCAGGCTGTCACTGTGAAACAGTTTCAGAAACTGACTTTCCTCTCAGGCTGTGACATGTCCTCATGTATTTCGCAGCCAGTGCTGCTGTCTGTCTCTCTCCTAGTATTATTAGGGGCCAAGCACCGAAGGTTCGATGGCAACTATTGTATCCGTTGGCGTTCTTCTTCTTCTTCTTCTTCCGCTCTGGAAGTCTATGGCAGCCCATAGAACCGCTTATGGGAAAGTTGTTAAACTTGGCACACTGATAGAGGACAGTCCCAACATTAACCATAGCAAATTTGGAGTCTCTAACTCAAGCTCTCTATCGCCACCACTTGTCCAAAATATCACTCATGTTTATGCGAATTTATGCTAATACGGTTCTTAAGGCACAGAAGGAAAATTATTTTTTCCTCTGATTTTTTGGCTCATGCCGAGTTGAATGGACAAAATTTAAAAATCGTAAGGTTTAGTTTTTTCGTTATTTTTAATAATTCGAAAAACCTACTTTTCGAACTCGTCCTAGAGGGTTTGTCTGATTTTCACCAAAATTAGCTCAGATCATCTTCAGACCATGCTGGCTAAAATTTATGGAATTCAAGTTGATTCGTCCAACCGTTCTCGAATAACGCGTAAACGAATTTGACGAAAAGCATGCAAAAATGGATGTGAGGCTATATCTTTGCAACGGTTTGGCGTATTGAGACCAAACTTGGTGTGTGTTATAACAAGCATGACCTGAGGCTACATGCAGTGTTTCGGCACAGTGCCCCCTAGTGGTCAGGAGATGGAAAATGGATGTTTTTGCTTATAACTTCTCAATGGTTTGGCCAAAAATCACAAAACCGGTCTCTTTAGATACGGTGGATGAATTTTCCCATGTCAGCCATTTTGGGCGTCGGCCATTTTGAATTTTGTCATGAAATGCTATATTTTACGAAAGCATTGACGTATCATTACGAAACTTGGTATGTGTCTTCGGGACCATGCCCTGATGGTACTCAAAAAGTTTGAGGGCAAAGTTTGACCTTGTGGTCAAAAGTTGTAATCACATTTCTAAAAATGCTAATAACTTTTGCTTACATTAACCTATTGTAATGAAACTGATGTTGATAAATTTGAGTCAGATCATCCTCAGACCATGCTGACAAAAAGTTATCGATTTCGTGTTGATAGATGAAACCATTTTTGTATAGCGCAGCAACAAATTTGAGGCATGATGTCAAAATGATTCTGAGGCTGTATTTCTTCAACGCTTTGACATATTGAAAAAAAAACTTTGTGTGTGCCATTGTCACCTCACACAGAACACAACACACCGATTTGATACCAGCACCACCTATTAGTCAAAAGTGTTAACCCTTTAAATCATATTACTTGTGGTTGTATATATGATTTTTCAGCCATTTTAAATTAAATCATCCTAAAATGGCTTCAGTTACACATTGTTGCAGTTGGTCTGATGCTCCATGCCATGCTTTATTTCCTAATTTTGCCGCTGGAGTGCTTGGCCCCATAATTGCTGCTTGCAGCTATATTCTTTATTTATTCCTCTTCGGTCATGGCTGTAAAGTTTTTCACAACGTTTGTGAATTGGTTTATGTAGAGGTCTCTTATTGAGATGAATTTGTGGCAGTGGAGGAGAAAGTGCACCTCTTTCTCGATTTCTCCTGTCCTACAGTGTCAAGTCAAGTCAAGTCACCCTTTATTTATATTGCGCTTTTAACAATACAGATTGTGTCAAAGCATTTTTACAGCATTAATTAGGAAAACAGTGTGTCAATAATGCAAAGTGATAGCGATGTAGCAAGTACATCGGGTGTTATGGAATGTGTTCCCGGTTCCAGTTGACCTAATTAATGCAGCCTAAAAATCCTTTAACGGATTTGAATATTAGAAATGTGTTAGTGTGTTATGTGTAAGCCAGGTTAAAGAGATGGGTCTTTAATCTAGATTTAAACTGACAGAGTTTGTCTGCCTCCCGAACAATGTTAGGTAGGTGAGCACACAGTAGCCATGTTTACCTGTGTCTGCCGGTCTCGATGGCTAGACTGTGCTCACTGAGCCTCTACTTGGTCAGGATCCGTCTCTGGTTTGTATCTTGGACACTGTGGAGATATTCTTACAATTCATAATTTGATTTTAAAGTTTGATCGAACTGTAATTTACATTGTGTTTTAGTTTCCTGATTCCAGATATGTATTTTTAGATTGTTTGATAATTTTAATTTATTTTAATGTTTGGGTGAGAAGCGGTGTAGGTCTGAGACTAATTAGTTTTAGTAGAGTTAGTCAGGTTAGTAAGTCTCAGAATCAGCTGACTGAGGCAACTTTTTTCAGGGTTCAGTTATTTGGTTTGTAATGCTATAAAATTTAGCTCAATTTCAGATGCATCTCAAATTTGAGGAATATTTGTTGCATAATAATAAACAATGGGAATTAGCCTAATTCTGCCCTACATGCATTATTGGGTGTTCTCCTTTGTAGTTTTAGAATGAGTTTGCAGAATTCTGTGTGTAAGCCTTCAGTTGGATGTCCCATCTAGTGTCTTTGTATTCATTTTGAACAATATTCAGTTCTTATGTCAGTATTGTTTGGCCCTTTATGTTTCAGATTTGATCATTTTCTAAGTTGTTTCTAGTGAAACCATTTTTCACCATTTGGTTGATTTTTTTTTTTTTTTGTTTACTACTATATTTCGCTTTCTTTTTCAATCTCCTGCTTTTTGAAATATGGAATTTATTTCATTTGTAGCCAAATTAACACCATCTTTAGTTGTTTCAAATTGTTTTCAGTTCTTCAGAATTGAGGGCTTGGATACATTTGTCTATGCTGTCTGGAGCCCATCTGTATCTCTGCTGGACTTGATACATTTGACAGCTTTCCAGTCTGTTTTATGTTGGAGTGTGATGTTTTTTAATATAAATGTTAGTTTGGTTATGGTTAGAAAGTAGAGTTTGTTGTTTGACAGTGAATGCGAAGGAGGACCAAGACCTGAACAACATGTGAAGACAACACTAAAGAGTCCCCTCTGATCCTGCCATTAAGTACTGTATGTACAGGCCTAAGTCTTGGCAGAGGTGCACTAAATGTAAAGGGCACATATTATGCCCCTAAGATGAAAAATTGTCGTGGGTGTCCCCAGAATGTGTCCGTGACATTTCAGCTCAAAATACCCCACAGATCATTTATTATAACATGTGGAAAATGTCATTTCTGGGGTGTGTAAAAAGAAAGCTGTTTTGGTGTGTATCGCTTTAAATGCAAATAAGCTGCCCCTTCATCAGAAGAGGGCATAGCATTTGCATGACTGAGAGTGTCAGCCACAGATAAAGGAAAACTCTAAACAGGTGTTTGGGTGGTGGATTTATAGGCCTTTTCTGTTGCTGCTTCTTGTCTTGGGTTTGCTCCTGGTGGGGTCAAAGTAATTCTTTAAACCTAAGCTGGGTTATGTGCCTAAAGTGTCAACTAACATACCATGTTCTGTGGTCATGCAGGCCTTTATCCTCCTCCATTTCAGTCGGTGGGCAAAGAGAAGCTAAACTTGCTTTGCCCAGTTAGGGTGCTTCAGTATTACATCCACCGTTCTACCCAGTGGTGTAAATGTGATCAGTTGTTTAGGTTTTCGGGTCACCCAGGCGGGGGTCCTCAGTATCCAAGCTGTGTTCCCGCGAAAGTGAATGTCTTGGTTACGACTGTGACCTTGGTTCCCTGAGAAGAGAATGAGAAGCTGTGTCACCTTGCCATACTTCCTGCTTACCTACGAGCAACTTAATTAATTCAGCCAATCAGAAGCTGATGTTTGGTACCCGGGTATCCTTTTATAGTTTCCGAGTTCGCCGTCATGCGTCACGGGGTGATGTTGTAAAAATGAGATTGGAGTAATTTAACACGTGCTTCAGATGCAATCACACTGGAGCATTCCCCATAGCGTCAACATTATGACACAGTGTGGAGTTCCCTTCTCCCGGAACCAAGGTTGCAGTCCTAACCCAGATGTTTTCCTTTACGTTTTTTTTTTTTTTGCTCAAAATTAATTGCAGGGTAAAGCTGAGCTAAGATGCCCTTTGTGTCAAGAACAATGGTCTTACACTGAAGTACGTAAACTAGCCAAACTCACACCTGAAGAACAGCTATACTTTGAGGAAAGACTTGCCAACAACGCTACTAGAAAGATAACAGACATCAAGAACGTAAGGACATATTCTACACCTTTTTATTCTTAGAAACATCTGTATGGTTCAGTTATTGTTCATGTTCTCTTTCTGTCTCACAGTGTCCTGGTTGTGATTGGTTGATCGAGAGATCAGACTCATCTAATCTCAGCGTGCAGTGCACCGTTTGCTCTGTAAAGAATAAAAAAACCTTTGAGTTCTGCTGGCAGTGTTTGAGAGAATGGAAAGGCCAGCGTCCTCGATCTGATCGATGTGACAATGAAGGCTGCAGCAACAGAGATCTGGATCTGCTGAGAGATTGTGCAACTATTATTTTACAAGATGCTGCAAATATTGTATGTCCAGCTGTTCGTGCCTGTATAACATGTGGTTTGCTGATTACCCACAACACACAGAGGTGTAAAAATATTGTATGCACTCGTTGTACTAAGGAGTTTTGTTTTGTCTGTCTGAAGCTCACACCTGACTGTCTGGCGACTAGTGATTACTATATTCCCTGTTCAGATGGTGTGGCTCCAAGACAGACTTCAATTCCAGTTTGGAGAGATAACCAATAAAAAACAAACACAGTTGTAGTTATGTGGTTAGATACTATTTAGAAAGCATGTGTAGTATAGTAATATTATATAAAAGGCCAGCCCAAATTAATAATTACTAATCAAATCTTTCACCCTGTCTGTTTCTCTGCCTACCTGTACCTCATCTGCTGAGACCATCACAGCCTTCAAGAAACAGCTGAATACACACCTCTAATTAGCATTTAGCTAATTCCTGTTCCTCATTTGTAGGTCACTGTGGATAAAAGTATCTGCAAAAAAAAAATGTAATGTTATCATTGTTTCAGGTTTGTCAAGCGTTAGTAAAGTCTGCTGTTTTAAGTGTAACATGTTATAAAGGTATTGCATGAAACATGGTAAGTGGTAATTATAAAATGCTTGTTCTGCACTTTTTTAGACTAAGAAAAGCCTGAGACCCATCAAGCACTTAAACCTCTCTTTATTTCATGTTAGCTATTTGCTAAAGTCACTATAGTGCATAACCAAGTGTCAGGTATCATTGTCATTGTTACTTGTGCAGTGAAAGAAGCTGTATGTCTAAATAATAAAGAGAATGTTGATGTGTAGCCTATGAGTATGTACTCCTTCACTATCCAAAGTGACTTTCAACAAATGAAGAAGGGAGTTTTTCTTAGAAAAAAAACAAACAAAAACAGAAATTTTCTTTAAAATGAACTCAGTGAAACATTAGTGCTGAAAAGGCGTGGACACTGTTATTTTTGCGACCTGACCTTCTGTATTTTTAATATAAGCTTCAGTGGTGAATGTACAGTTTGTGTGTGGATTCTGCGGAAATAATCCCCACTTCTCTCTTACACATTGCTTAAAACCTTCATGCTAAAAGCTTCTCATGCTAAATAATTAAATTGTTTGTTTAGAATACCCATTTATTCATTACATGTTTGATTCAATATTGAAAGTAAAAAAAAAAAAATGGAAAATGTTTTTTTTTTCCTTTATAATTTTTTTGAAGAAAAAAAACAAGAATTCGGATTTATTTGACATTTTTATCTATTTCACCCTATGTACAAAAAATAGGACCTGATGGACAAAGATGTCCCCATTGAAACTCATTAACATGGCAATATTTAGTCCCAGTGCCATTTAAGCATAAAATCATGCATTCTTTGTTAACAGGCTTAACAGGTTAAAAGACATTAAAAACCTTGAAATAGAGACATTCTCTTATCTCTTACTCATGAAAACAAATATCACTTAAAAGTAATAATAAAATAGTAAAAAAAAAATAAAAAAAAATAAAATAGTGGCACAGACCAACTGTTGTCAGTGTTTTCCTACGTACAAACATCTCACTGGATTATTACAATTAATGTCAAAACAAATGTTTGTAAATGTAAACTGATATTTCCTGCTGACACACTACAGCAAAAGATAGAAATGACTGGCTAAAAAATTTTTTTGAGGCTTGAAATACTAAAGTTTTTGTGAATTTTCTGAATGAAAGATCAAAATTTATTTTAGATTTATTTTACAGCCTTCTGTAATGTGGGGTTTTGTGTTTGGGTTTTGTTTCATGTTCATGTTTTCATGTCTTTTATTTTGTAATTGTTTCACCCTATTTGTGTCATGCTTCCCTTGCCCTCATGTATTCATGCCATTGGTTCTCTCGTTCATTGTGTCATGTTCTGATTGGTTGTCTTAGTCATGTGTCTTGTTTCCCATTGGTTTGTTCTTGTCATGTGACCCTCATTGTCTGATATAAGTAGCCATCATGTTCCCATAGTCTTCGTCGTGTATTGATGTTGTAACCTGCTCTC